ATACCTTAAATTATAGCAAGATTCCTAATATGGTTTAAAGTATACTCCTTAATTAAGGGATATTGGAGTCTTTGGGTTCTTCAAAAGGTTGAGGGTGTAGGGGTTTAGGGGTTTAGGATTTGGGGGCTTAGGGCCTAGGACTTAGGGCTAGAAGGTCTTTCTTAAAGGAGCTCCGAAAGAGGATCGACAAGGGTTCTTACTTACAAGATATATGACCCGAAGCCCTAAACCCTAAAAACTCCAGGTTTGACTAATATCCGAGCCAGAATAATTTTGTTTTGGGGGTATAAGTAACCCGACGGATGGTACGACTAGTTGCTTATATTGCAGGATTCGCTCAAAGGTTCCGTCACGGGTCTGTAATAGCTCTGAAAGGGATATACGGTGTTTGCAGGTTTATGGGGTTTTGGTGCATAAAGGGTTCTAGAAGGTGCTGTAGTGTCTTATGTTGTTTGGGCATGAGACCTTGAAAAGGTATTTCGGGCGTCTTGGAACCAGTTACGCTGGCTTTAGGCTCTTTGTGACGAGTTTTTGATGAGGCTGTGGGGCAGAGGACTTAGGGCGTTTACGTCACATGGTTTTGCCAGGGTGTATGCACAGGGCGCCAGGCTTGATATGGTTCAGGTCTTGGGGTCCTGGCGTTCGAACCTTGCGGACGGTTTAGGGTTTAGGGTTTAGGGTTTAGGGTTTAGGGCTAAATAATGGAGTCTACCAACTTTCAGGGTTTTTGTTCTGCTTTGAGTTCCGGGTGAAGCTGAACAAGGCGGGGATTGCGGGCCGGATTAGAAGCAAGAGCGAAGAGCGTCTGAAGACAAAGAGATCCGAAGAAAGGCCCTTCAAACAAGGTAGGCTCCTTACATGGGTAGGCCTCTAAATTAGGGTCCCTTTTTAGGGTCCGTTTATAAGGGTGCCGTACTATGTTTGGGACCCAAAAAAGGACCCTAATTTACAGAACTACCCACATAAGGATCCCCAGCGGGACCCTTTGGCCCCGAACAAAAGCACACGAAGGGCCTGCTTGCAAGCCTGGTATAGGGGCCCTTCATAATTAAATCGGGTTTGAGGGTTTACGAAAATATACATACTTGTTTTGAGGAAGCCTTTAAAACAGCATCTCTGATTCTTCGTTCAGACTTGTCAAGTACACCAGCTTAATTCGTCCGAAGGGGAACGAAGTGCCCAGTTTTAGCTTTGGGGCACTGCTGGTAACCTTGGGGCTTGTGGCATACACGGGCATACACGGGCGTCGTGCGGGGGCTTTCTGGATTGGGTGTGAAGTTCGGGGCTGAGGCCTCGAGTCTTGCAAGATCGGTTGAAGCTCTTGAAGTTTCAGAGGGCCTCGTGGCTGATGTTGCCCCTGTAAGGCTGAGCGCTTGGCACATAATTAGAGCTTGGGGTCTACGGTAACCGATCTTCAAAAGTTAGCTCACAGGTATGTAACATGAGCTGACACCTCCGGTCCTGACACGCGAACGCGTCATCGCATCCAGCACAGATAGAGCATGTTCCCACTGGGACCCCCGTCGCAACGCCCCCAAGCAAGCATTGAAAGAGATAACGTCAGCAGGGCAATGTTGAGAAATCATCATCGCTAGCAAGCGTGTGGCATGCTCCCACTGGCTGCCCCGCTGACAACAGCTAAGCAAGGTATTGTAAGTAGTTGTGGTGCAGCCGGTTCGCGTGCGCAGCATCTGCGCATGCATACACAGCGCAACCGTCCACTGAGCCGGTTTGTCGCAGGCCTTGAGGAAAGCATTGTAAGAGATGCTGTCTGCATCTCCTGCACTGGATGTCTGCAACATGCTCAGACACCTTTCCCATTGAACTGCCTCGGCACAGGCCGACATGGCTGCATTCAGCGCAACCACGTCAGGTAAGACATGGCGGCGCTGCATTCGCCGCAGCTCCTCCAGGGCCAAGGTCCACTGCGCCAGCGTTGCACACACGTTCAACACGGCGCTGTAAGAGATCACGTCAGGCGAGGGCCCGCTGTCTTCCATCGAGGCCAGTAGCTGAAGTGCCTGGTCAAACTGCTCGGCTTCGCCGCAGGCATGCAGACACGCATTGAAGCTGACTCTGTTGGGGTTCAGGCTGCTTTCGGGGGCAGTCCGCAGCATGGAAACCGCCAGTTGCCATTGGCACGACCTCTCCAGACTGCTTAGGAAGGTGTTGAGAAAGATGGTGTCTGGCAGTGGCCGAGCCGCCCTTAAGTCGTAAAAGATACTAAAGCTCCACCGCCATGCTCCGGCTATCGTAGCCATGGCCACATTACTCAGAATTCGGTTGGGCGGCGCTTGGTGTAGCAGCTGCAGCGACTGTGCCCAGGTTGTGACGGAACCCAACGCGGGCGCATAGCTCTGCGAATCGGGTCGCATGGCCATGCTGGACATCCAAAGCAGCAGGCCGATGGTACGGTGCCAGCTTTCCTGCTGTCCCGAGAAGCTCAGAGCAATGTTGCAACAAATAACCGACAGCTGCATCGAAGCTTCTTGAACCTGCCAAAACATGGAATAAGCCAAGTGCCAGGCACTTGCCTGACATGCTTGAAGCACAGCGCCACAGCAAACTGCATCTGTCTCCAGGCTGCCGAACTTCAGCTGATAGTACGTAGCCACTGCCTGCAGCCGCTGCATCTATGGGCGGTTGCAAGCCGTTGACGACTTTCCCAAAGAGGTGTTACTCAGCCCTAAACCATCAGTCTACACCCACCGATTTGCAGAATTGATGTCCATGTCCAAACTTGTAAATTATCCGCTGGCCCTGGCCAATGTAACGGACACATGCCTAGTTCCACAAACACATCGAGGTCTGAATTACAGATCTCTGCAGCTAGTTGGGTAATGACCTCTTGAATCTCAATGACCTCTCCAATCTGCCTTATGGCTCAGGTCTTGCAGAATTTTGCGGCATGTGGAGCACGCTTCACTCCCCGCCTCGAAAACCGGGTGTCAAGACTTCTACGTGGTAGCTACACGCCCTCCATCAGGGGCATCTGCAAACTCGTTCAAGCCCCCGTACAATTTCAGTTTTAGGTTTAAGGCTTAGGTTTAGACTTCTTTCCTCATCAGAAGAACCCGGCCTCTTTCCACTGGCTGTGCCGGCCGGCGCCCTGTCGGGAGAGCTAAAGGATCTTGCAGCTTTGGGCCCTGCAACCCCAAGAAGTTTAGGGTTTAGGGTTTAGGGTTAGGGTATTTCAAAAGTCTACGACGAGCTCTCGATGGCTTCGGGCAAGCAATGACCATTCGTGAGGGAGGAGCCCCAAAGAACTCCGGTCAGACTGAAAGCAGAACTCAAAGACTGTTGCTTTTGACCTTTGTGAAACAAGTAACCCAGAGACTCCAATACTACTTAATTAAGGAATGTACCTTAAATCATATAAGGGTCCTACTATAGTTTTTGGATGTTTAAGGTATATTCCTTAATTAAGGGATATTGGAGCCTCTGGTAACACGCTTCACCGTTTGGAACCACGGTCTGGGGCTGCTTATGCTCGAAGCACCCAGAGACTCCAATATCCCTAAATTAAGGAATATACCTTAAATCATGTTAGGGATTCTACTATAATTTAAGGCATATTCCTGAATTAAGGGATATTGGAGTGTCTGGGCAAGACGCTTGAATGGCTTTGGTCGCCGAGCCAATTGGTGACAGCCGCGATGGGTTCCGCATGGCCAGACAGGCCAAACGAGCGGAATCCCTTCAGGACAAACCCCCTCAGGAGGGGTTTAGAATTTCTTTCTCCTTGGCATGGAGGCATGGAGGGTTGTGCAAATAGATGGATTTCGAAAATGTACCTCAACGTTGTTGGCGCGGAACTTCGGGGGGGGTAAGGGTGTGTGGCTTGTAGGGGATCATGCTCAGCTAAAGCTCAAGAGAACCTCTAGCTCATGTTCATAGTCAGAAACGGCAGAAATGATTGCAGAAGCCGTTTGGTGTTGCATTGCGTGTCCTTCGGTTTCCAAGGGCCTTCTGGACCTCAGGCTATGGCAACCGCGCCTGTGGAAAACTTGGCCTCTCTCCTAATAACGACTGTGAGCCTGGGCGGCAGAATTGGCATCACGATTACAGGTTCAGGGGTTTAGGGTTCAGGGTTTAGGGTCTTCTCTGAATTCAGCTCGCTCGCACATTTCTTTCGCATCTCGCTTCTCACCAACCAAACTTTGCAGGTAAATTTGCACGTACTGATCTGCCCAAGAATGCTCAGCTCGCGTGCGGACGTACTCTTGGGTTCCGGCGTCCTTGCTGTAGTTGTTCGCGTAGAGCTGAGAGACCTTCTCGAATTTTTCTTGGTGTAGGGCGGCCTCATGAATCATGATTGCAGTCGGCAGCGCTCGGTCCGAAGCAAAACAAGAAAATGCGAAGATCAAGTAACAAAACTAAGACCTTGATTAAAACAACTGAAGAAATCGCAATGCTAGTTCCGAACGACAATAGCCACATTGAAGCCCAAGCCGTCCAACACAACACTGTCTGCCTATATCGAGTTGGAACCACTCACCTGTTGCATCCTCCGACCAGGAAGCGCCATTTCCAAGACATACTTGGAGCATCATGGGACTTAGTAAGTAAGGTTATAAGTCCCCTAATTGAGGTTATAAGTATAGTTACCTTAGTTATAACCCTACTTACTTAGTCCCATGATCCTTTAAGTAGCAACCCGATTAGATGACTTGCTCCTCAGAAACCGCACGTGGGCAAGGAGACCGTGCTGCTCTAGTTTGTGCTGCATGCAAGGCTCGTACTATGCACCAGGGCCAACATCTCCTTCCAGGACAATGTCCCCAATGACATTCTGAATGCGCAGTGGGACCTCGGTCCATGTTCACGACGCGGGCCGACTCCAAAATTTGGAGAAGTCCATTCCACATCAGAGCTTGCAGCCTACGGCACTTCTTAGCATTCACTACCAAGCGTCCCGCTTTGAATAACATTCCTGCTTGTGGCCTTGATAATCGTCATTTCGACAACTGGCGACAAACCTGGAATGCAATAAGAGACTGAGGACAGAGAAAGCAGAGCAAAGGGGCAAGTAGGTAGTGATATAACCGGCCTATCCGGAAGGGAACGTAGGCATAGAGGCGGATAGGCAGGTAGGTAGGCAGGTGGGTAGGCAGGTAGGTAGGCAGGTACTTTCGTACGTACGTTGCCGCTGCCCCCCGAGAGCAAACAAACGGGGGGGTATGAATGTACATACCTCGGGGTTCCTTATGTTCACAGGACCCGGCGGCGCTCAATCCTGAAACTCTGTATAAGTAAAGGTTCCACTTGCCCTGGAACTTTGGAGCCCAGCTGAACCCGAGCGACGACCCGGAGTTTTTGGGGGCCTAATAATTGTTAATAGGGTTTTTGGGGCCCATTATCTTAGAAAATATAATAAGGAGCCCCAAAAATAGTAGAGGTAACTATTAGATTAGAAAATATGATAAGGAGCCCAAAAACTAGTAGAGGTAACTTATTGAGGCCCCTGCATTAGCTTGTTGATCTCGTCATCGGCCAAAACCCGCTCGCCGTACCAGCTTCTTACCTGCACTTAGGACATCTTAGGGCTTTAAGGGTTAAGGGTTTAGGGTTTAGGTTTTAGGATTTAGGGTTTAGGGGTTTAGGGTTTCTGCACTTAGGACATCTTAGGACCTCAGTGTGATGGCACTCTGAGGAACGTCGCAAGGCACACCATGCACGGCACAGGAGTCTGCAAAGCCCGCAGCACCCTCTTTTTTCGACGATGCACGCAGAACGGATATTGAGCGCTCCTCACCTGGAGCCCTCAAAGTTCCAGCCCGGAAAGCCGAGAATGTAGGGCTCGGCGATCTGGACCACCTGCCATCTCTCCCACGCCCACTCGGTTGGGCCCGGGAGGTCTTGGGGGTTTTTGGGTGGGCTGCCGACGATGCCCTGAGTGTTCATGGTCAAGAACCGGTTGTGCTCCGCATTGTGCAAAGCGATCACGCCGTCCTCGGTAGGCACCACCTGGAACCTCTCCCACAGCCAATTCGCCGGCAAATCGCTGGCGTTCTTGGGATCACTGGCCGAGACATCGGAGTTGATACCGTCACCATGCCAAAGCTTCACGAAGCGGTTCCAGTGGGCATTGTGCAACGCGACCTCCCCGTTCCCGGCATCCACCACCTGGAACTCCTCCCAGAACCACCCGGGTTGCCAGTGCTTCCCTCCTGTGGGGTCGCTTCTGTCCATGTCGAATTGGTCGTTCATCCGCATCCAGCGGTCGTGAGCTGGGTTGTACAGGCCGACGGTCGAGCCTGGCTTCAGGTAAGGCTCGAGCACATCGATCTTGAACCGCTGCCATGTCCATCCCTGCGGAATGGTCTCCGGATTTCCGGTAAATGGTGCCCATGACATTAAATGGCCCGGTTCCATGCCCAAGAAGCCTTTCCAATGAGGATTGTAGAGAGCGACCTCGCCGTTGCCGACGCTCACCACTTCGAATTTCTGGTCTGGCCACGTCTTGTCGAAGCTGCGGGCAGAGCCGTGGTAGACGTGGACGCCAACTACGGGGTTCACTGACAGCCAGCAGTTGTGCTTCTGGTTGTGCAGTGCGACCAGACCATCTCCCGCGTCGATGACTGTGAACCGCTCCTGGAGACCGAAGGAAGGGAGCTGGCCGAAGTAAACCAAGCCACTGGTGCGCACCATGCCGTTTCCGTGCACGTTGATATACTGGTTGAAGATGCGGTTGTGGAGCGCCACGGTGGTGCCCGGGACCATAACCGGGGGCGGTAGGTTATGCTGGGTGAAGTGGTTCAGTGCGTCGATGGCCCTGTCGGCGCTGCTTGTCGACACCCAGGGGAGAGCATGCAATACCACCCTGAACTGGTCCACTATGTTCACCAACTGGATGTCCCTCTCTTCAGATTTGAATGGCCCGAAGCCAACCTGCGTGCGCAGCTGGAAGTCGTTGCCGGCCACGACGCCCCGGAGATTGAAGCTGATGTCAGCCCCATGCTTGAATCTGAAGAGCTGGAAAACGTCCCCTTCGGCCTCCTCCTCCTCGGCCTCGGAGCCCTCCGCCTTGGACACCCGTGCCTGTGCGGCCATGAGACCGAGGCGTTTGGCCGCAGCGTGCCCCTTGAGCTCCGAGGTGACGTTCACACCCAGATCCATGTTGTAGTCGGCAGTTGCCAGGTAGAGCTCCTCCGAGTCCATCATCCACTCCCAGACCCCGCCGTCATCTGCCTCCGTGTCCTCCTTTCCTACGTCCTCCTGGGAGTCCTTGCTCTGGTTGCTCTGCAGCAAGGCCTCCCTGGACATGGTCACACGCGGATTCGTCAGCATGTCCCATTTGGCAGAGGTGGCCTTCGCGTGCGGAGGATGCCAGTCGGCAGCATTGCTGCCGAAACGTTTCGCAAGTCGAAGGGTCCGGGAGAAGAGGAGCACGCCACTGGAGAGAATCTTCGTCCGCAGGAGGCTGAGATCCTGGCCGCCCGGCCGGCCCCTTGGCCAGCAGGCCGTGGTTTGCACCGTCACGATCGGCGAAGGCATGACCTCCAGAGTGATGCCAGCGATGAAGGAGATGGTTGGTTGCACGCTGATGGAGTAGCTCACCGTGACGCACTTCTCCACAGCCAGGGAACCCGTGTAGAAGGAATAGCCCTGCCACTTGTCCCAGTTGTCCTTCATCCAGGTGGGATCACAGGGCACCGCCCAGGGTTCCAGCTGCACGAAATCGCTTTGATGCTGGACCTGGCTTCTATGAGAATAGGACGGGCTCGGGAGAGCTCGGGAGACGCGATACGGGGGTTTCCGAAACTAAGGGACCCTAAAATAGTACCCTAAATAGTAGGATCCTTATTATAAGGACCCCCAAATAAGGTACCCCTTATTTTCGGAAACTCCCATACGTGAAACATCGTCAAGCAGACCCCGCCTGCCAGTCCGCCTTGATCGCCTGGCCGTTCTGCCCGTTCTTCTGCTTTGGGGCGAAGGCCAGGCAGCTGCCTGTGTCCGTTTCGTAGCCGTCGAACCTTCGCTCCGAGCGCAGCGAAGGATGACGAAGGAAACAGCATCGACAGCGACAAGGAACAATCAAAGCCTAAACCCCGAAGCCAGTCCAGGTGAAGGCAAATGTAGCCAGACCAAAAAAGGACCTTTGACGAAATGCTCCACCTCGGTTGTGCGGAATGCTTCATGCTGCTCTCGATGCGACTCGCGCACTCGCTGCGGTGTGGTGCACATGCGCACTTCGGCTCCGAGATCGAATCGCCTCAATCGTCAAGGACAGTGCGCGACTTTTGCGCCTTCCTCTTGCCAGACTTCGCAACGACGCGAACATCAGCGCACGGAGAAGGTCAAACCCCCTTGCCGACTTTTCCCGAAGTGCTTTTGCTCCCAAGTAGGTTTTTAAGACCCATACGCAAGCTTGTTGATTCATGCTGGGTTCGATTCGACAGAGAGCTGGGAAGTGCGGACTGCAAGGAACTCGCGTCGGGCCCTGGCCCGGGCTTGAAAAGTGATAGAAACGATGAGAAACAATACAGACACCGGAGCAAAGCCCAGAGGATCCCACAGCATCTTTGCACAAGCCTTTCAACCCTCTGCACCAAGCCGTGCACAGACGACAGGTCAGAAATCAAGGAACCTTGGCAGCGGGAAAGGAGGGTCTCGGGAGCCCAAACTCGTCTAAGGCTGCTCCCTGACAAAGTCTTCCGGGCCAGGGAGCTGGCTGATAAGCTTTGTCTGCTGATGCGAGTCTTCGGCCTCGAAGGCGAAAGCCACGCCGGCCTTGGGGTCGCCCCCAGTCTGCAGCATCGACACATTGCCGCCGGCCAGCCGGGACTCTGATGGGCCCCGAAGATGTTCCGTGTGGATCTCGATCATCAGGTTCTGCTCGGAATGGTGCACCGCAGGAGCAGACCCGACTTTTGGGAACTTGGAGCTCTTCGCGGCCTCTTGGATCAGGGAATGGCTGCTTTTCAGGACTTGCTTTACCACGGTGCCGGCCATCCTCGCGAAGCCCTCCACGAATTCGCCCACGATCTTGCTCAAAAGGGTCAGGTACTTGAACGGCGGCACGTACTCGATCATCTTGTTCCCAAGACATAGGACGATTGCTTGTATCGTGCTTGTGTCGTGGCACCCAAGCACTTCCTCCATGATCTTGTTGCCCACGCACTTCACAGAGTCAGGGTCGGTCCCGGCGCAACTCACCAGCTCCTCGCCCAGGTCGAAGGCGGCCTTGATGGCATTGACCCCAGCATCCTTGATCGCGCTGAACGGCTCGGGCCAGGGGATGCCAAAGTTTGGCGTCGTGCAATCGAAAAGAGTTAGCGTCTTCCCCAGCACGGTGACTTTACAGTACGTGCGTGTGAAGTGGTAGTGCAATCCTTCCTTGTTTAGATAGATGCTTGGGCGTGGCATCTCGCAGTCTGTCCCGAAACCACTAACATTCCACTGCATGAGTGCTGCGATTTCGGCGGGCCAGGGAACTTTGATTTCTGGGAAATCCCAATCGAAGATTGTAAAGGTTCCACTGTAAATATGGAGGCTAATGCCTACTTTGCACTGCCACTTGCCCAGCTTCAATTTGAAGTGAGTTTCCCCCATCTCCACGCTTGGTGTCGGCTCGTTGCAACCTACAAACCCCGCATCCAAGCTGCCAGAGAGAATGGCCGTTGCCTTGTCCAGAGTGTCAATGGTACTGTCTTGGTTGAAACCAACTTTATCCTCGGTGTCCTCGGCTTGCTCGTAAGCCTCCTCCAGCCTCAGAGAGCCATCCACTGCTTGGCCTTGACCTTGCGCCTGGCGCTGCAGCAGCTGTTCGTTTGTTGACCCGCCTTCGGTCCGACGCTCTTTGTCTTTGTCTTCGGACAGGGGAGTGACCAATTGGCGCTTTTTTAGTTGGCGCAGCTGCTTTCGGAAGACCTTCTTCAAAACCTCCTGTGCTTTCTGGACTCTCTCCTCCTCCTCGGCCTTCGCTTGCAGAAGAGACGGCTGCGGGCTCGGAGCGGGTTTCACCTCCATGTGCTCGTCCAGCTTCTTGTTCAGCCGTGCAATTTCGGCCTTCATTTCGCCTTCCTGGAGCACCAGGGCGGCTTCCTGGCAAGCTTCCAGATTCCATGCCATGCCTCCCTAGCCTAGACCGACAGACTGCGTCCAAGGTTCCAGCTGGGCGACCTTCTGCAACAAGAACTCCAGGTTCCCGGCGAGCGCGTGGAAGCCCGCTGGCTTGGGCACGTCGTGCCTAGGCACAAGTTCCCCAAAACGGCCCAGCACAGCATCATGCCATCATGCCCATTGTGAGTTCTCATGGATACTTAAGCCACTGCAAAGGCCAACAAGCGGGGTTGTTCTGCTTGCGGCCTCGCAGCTCTTCTACGGCCTGGGTGCCATTCTCCGTCAGGTCGGAGCCTACCTTCCTCCCCCGCGAGAGGCGGGACATGTCGGTCTTCATGGCCGCCAGCGGCGAGACCAGAAAGATCAGCAGGAGGAACATCGTTTGCTTCATTGAGTTCAGACTCAAAGGGATAATGGAATTGCTGCAAACCGTAAGCTTGAGAGTACAGCTTAGACTGCAAGAAAAAATACACAACATGCTGCGGTGTGAAGGACACTTTGCCGGCAGCTGCAGCTGAAAGATTGCAGCCCTTCGGGCCTTGGGAGTCAACGTTGCGAAAGCTCTCTGCGAGCATGCCGGCGTCAAAAAGACCTGCAGACTGCCCATGCAGACTTTCGTCTGGCTTGACCCATGGAGTATGTAACATGCACCAGCGGACAGTGTCTTACATCGACCTGACACTTCATTCCCGCAGGATAACGCATTCTTTCCTACGACTTTCCGCCAATTCCTGACATCCAATAGCATACCTCTAGTGCATCTTCCGTCGCTCACCTGCTGAGCACCTCACAGCTGGCTTCTGATGCACGCCGCGATGCATGAAGGATCTCGCCGGGATGCGTCAGAATACTGCGAACCTTGACAGCAAGCTTGCACGCAAACCGAGGAGTGTTCATCGCAAAGCTATCGTTCTGAAACCACTTTGCCGGTCGAGGTACGTATAGAAGTCACTGCGACTGGCCGGAACCTGCTGAGCTGGATGGTGCGTGAAGCTGCCGTTCCCAGGAGGTGGAACTGGTGGAGGGACAGAAGCGCAGAGATGTGATATTGCCTGAACTCCACTGCGTCCAATTCAATATGTAGGGCGGAACGATCAATGCAACTAGGCCAGCTGAGGTCGTGGCATCGCGACATCAGCATAAGCAACCTCGGCACGCCATCAAGTGGAGCCAGAGCCTCGATTGAACCCATGGTCTTATATCCAGAGCCCTTGTACCGAAAGAGCTTCGGCCCCGGATCCCTGGTTTCCAAGTCTGCAGCAGTTATCCCAGAGAGCACATCATGTACAGAAATCGGAAACCGAAGCTTGTCTCATGTCCCTGCCTCCTTCCCCGGCCCTGTTGTTTCCAACAACCTCAGCCGGCACATCTTTTTCAAGAGGCACACTTCTGATGCCAGCATTTTTTTCGCAAGCCGCTGTCGCAGCAGCAAGCGCAAGGTTCGGGCTGGTCCGAAGACGTCGTAGGGGTAGCTACCAAGACATCAGCAGCCCCGAAAAATAACCCTTGAAGGACTCGGTGGCCGTTGCAGCTATTTGCACACGCGCTGGCAAGGTTGCTGGGCAAGACGACATACTGAGCTCCGGGAAGCGATGGCATTATGATGAAGCACCTGCTCGGATCACCGTTCTCAATGTGGGAATGTCCGAGGTTCTAGCGTGAAGCATTTCGAAAAGCCTGCTTTCTCCTGAAATCAACCGGTTGCTGAATGGATGGATGCCCCTTCGATGCTCCATGTGTCTGTTTGCTCACCCCGACAATTAAACGTGACCGCAACCCACGTCTGAACTTTCTGAGCTCGACGCGAAACGAGCTCTGCCACCAAGTGAAGCGCCAGGCCAGCTGCATGCTTGTGCAAAGTGGTGGCAGCGGACCGCAACGACGACGTCAGACAGTTTCACATGACAGACGAGACTTCGACTTCCTCTAAACTCATGTCAGCAATCCAGCATGAACGACATCCACAGCATCCTGCAAGCAGGAGCATGGCACAAGTCCGAGCGCTTGCAGATAGGTCTGTGGCTTGTAGATGTCTCGCGCGGCAAGGATTCAACTCAAAGCAGCTTGACAACCCTCAACCGTATTGACCTGAAGCGCACACAACACAATCCACACAACTGCTCCCAGCTGAGGCGGCGGCGCGTCGCCGTCTCCAACAGGCCCATGCAGGTGCATCCTGCAGGGCAGCTATACAGGTCAAGCGGACACAAGGACCCATCAGGACGTAGTGTGTCGAAGATGCTGTGCATGGTATTGAGGATCATGCATCTGCGCAAGCACTGCGAAACGAGCCCAGACATGGTGAGCAAAGTTGTGAGATCAGGGTTTAAGGTTTAGGGTTTAGCGTTTAGGGTTTAAGACGAATGTGGGCCACATGTGGCCAGCCCTGCAGCTGTAAATTGCCGCGAGCTGCTAAGAACACGAGAAGCCTGAAAATGTCAGCCGTTCGCGCCTTGGCCATCAATATGGCGGAAGCCCCTGTGTGCTGATCGATACGAAATGAAGCTTCGGATGTGTGTGAAAGAGAGAGAAAGAGAGAGAGAGAGAGAGAGAGAGAGAGATGCACTGGAATTGGATCATTCAGGTTGCGACTTCTTAACAATCACAGCATCTTCGACAAGCTGTTCATGAAGACTTGCAGGTGCTGCTGCCGCCTTCATTCCGTTTGTGAGCAACCCAAACAAAACAAGCTCGAATATACCAAAGGGTGAGGCCTACCTCACCAATCGGAATATACGAAATCAATCGATATAACTTCCACTCCGGAAACATATGAGGACATGTAACTCGCACTAACGCTGCTCGCACAGATGATTCTTTCGCCGGTTGCAATACGACGGGGGTCGGTCCAACGATCCGCGAAGAGCATCAGCGCCTTCAGACAACCCACCTCCCTTTATTTCCGACGCCACATTTGGCATCTCTCGCAACGCTCCCCGGGGTGGGTGGGGGGGTCAGAACTTTCACATGCACATGCTTTGACCAGCACATGCTGCAGCACACGTGAAGATCTTCGCGCGCTCACAAAGGATCACAACAAAATTCTTCGTGACATAAATAAAGTTTCCTCGGAACTCCCTTCTCACCAACTCCTTCTCCTTGTTTAGTTTTGGGGCAGCAGACCTCCCTGCCTTCTGCTTTCATTCGTAATCAAAAGTGTCTTGTTCAAGTGGGTATCACACCGTGC